GGCGTCTTCTTCCTGAGTCACAAAAGATAAAGGCAGGAAGATTGTTGTGAGTTTCAGGCTAGCTCTTAAGTGCAACCAGTGTTGTTTTGTTTTGTTTTCTACTCATTTTTTTGAATAGATTCTCTTAAATTCTAAACCAAAAGATGCATAGTCATTTTGTAAATTTTTATTTATTATTCTTAGGAAGTTACTCTACATATAATCTTCCTGCGCTCTTCTCCAATCACCCCAGAAGGCATAGTTTTGCAGAATATCCTGGATCTAATCCCTTTAGATATTTCAGGTGGTGGAAAACATTTCATATCATGAAAAGAACAAAACTTTCCCCACGTTTGATATTTTATATTCTGAAAAAAAGTGCATATACTCTATTTCATATGAAGCTAAGATGATAGTTCCTTTCTTCATTTTTTGTGAAATGCCTAAACTTCCTTATGAAATTATAACCTTAGCTTTTCCAGCCATCTGAAACTTCCTGAATAAATTGCTATCAATCTAAGTGGCTTTCTTATGTTGTCCACCTCGCAGTCCCTACTTAGATTTGTCATCACAGGAGGTGCTGTAGTTTCACTACATATAAAAGACTGTCTTCTAAACTGCATAATTTTTTCTAACTTCTAAACTGTGCTTTTACAGTGTTGGCAAAAGCAATATGCAGTCTCACCAGTAGGAGAGGAATGCCACAGTCCTCCTCTTGTAATAAGACCTTGTGGTCAGAGAGCTTTCTGTGGACACTCTGAGACTCATCTGCTGAGAAACTCCTGGAACTTCACATGAGCTGATTTGTAGATGGATATGAATTCCCTGGATCTATGTACAGAGAAAACATTACATTACACTCAGAAATTTAGGCTTGCTGTGAGGCTGTTCAGTATTCTGAAAAACAAATGTAGGCCAATCTAAACATTCTTTCACATCCATATCTTTTAATTCCTGTCTTTTATACAGAAACATAATTCCTACTTTAGAACCTAGACCAACTGAGTTTAAAAGATGTCTCAAGCACAAGGTTTCATTATTTTAAGCTTGAAGTTTTATACATACAACTGTATTCATGCCTGAAGAGAGGGATATGTAGCCACTGAAGGATCCATTTTTACTTTAGACAATATTGTAGCATGAATAATTTTTTTTTTTTTGATACAGAGTCTCACTCTGTAGTTCATGCTGGCCTTGAGCTTTGTGTAGCTCAGGCTGGCCTCAAAATCAAAGCAATTCTTTTGCCTTAGTCTGCTGAGTGCTGGTATTATAGGTATGGGCTACCATGCTGGGCTTAGCATGAATGAATTTATCTTTGACATTTAAGTGGTCCAAGAAAGAGATCATTTAAGTGGTCCCTTTATTCACCCTTTCCTACCTCTACACTCCTACCAAAGCATTCCTCTTTTCATTCTCTCTACCCCCAAACAAGTCAGGTACTCACTCCTATATTAGAGTTTGTCTCATATACTGAGGAAAAGATCTGAAATCTGTAGGGGATTTCATGCTAAATATTAGCAGATGTCAATGGTAGAAATTTGTTTTACTGAAGTTTGGAGTCATATTTCTAGTTCCTAAATCATATTCTAACTGTGTCCACCTCCTTTTTCTTTGCATAAGTTTAAAACAAATTTTGCGTGAGACTTAAATTTTTAAGTGACAATTTGAGAGAATATTTTCAGTGACACACGGGTGCATGTGGTGATTTTTGTGTAGAAGTGTTAACTGCCCTATCATATTGCAAAAAAAATCAGTGATGCTATGGAGAACAAGTCTCAATAAAAGAGTTAAGCAGATTATTTCAGGTATAGTCATTGATTACTATTCTTTTTTCTTTTTCAATTTATCACAATTAGCTGATAGAACTAGGAAGAACAGTTTATTTATTATTTATTTGCTTGTTTCTTAAGCTACTATCATTTAGAAAAATTTGATTTTTAGCTTGTCAATTTCACAGAAAAAAGGTTATTATTTAAAAAAAATTTGTGTTTGAGCTCAACTTACATTCCTAATTCTCCAGGAAAGGTGAGAGTTGTTCTCTTGAAATACTTAAGGATATCAAAAGGCCATGAGAAGTGAGGCCCCATCTTTCTCCATTCTGTGAGAACATCTATCTTTCTGTTTCTGCAAAAAATAACAAAAAGTTAGTGGACTCCTGATGCTAAGTTAGTGAAAAACCCCACTCAAGACTATGACATTCTGTAATATTATTCTTTCTTGTTAATAGAGAAAAAAACAAACTATTTAGAGTAAACTATTTGATATCAAAGCTCTGGTTTAATTTCAAGTAAGTTCAATTACTGTAGTGCCTACATAAAACTGAACCAAACCAAAACAACACTTTAGGTTTATACTCTAAGCCAGCACTTCATAAGTCGTTTACTACAGGACAAAAATAAAAAAAGTTAAGCTTTCACAGATATGATCACTTTTGATTAGATAAATGCCATTGTTCCCAGGATGCGCTGGCAATTCTTGCACTGGACCCTCAGCACCATTCTGTACCCTTCCAGTCTCCAGGTTACCTAGCCCCCTTGCTGGCCCACTTCCAGCTGTGTTTGATTACTGAGAGACACTAACAGAGATAGGAGGATCAAGAAGTAGAACTCGAAAGATTACTTTCCTACATATGCTGTCTCCCAGCTTTGGCATCAGCTTTTTACTTCCTTGAATACAGAGAACACTCCTGCATGGTTGCTGTGGTTGTTGCTTTGGTAACAAGACCCTCTGGTCATTGGTAGTAATGGCTTTTTGCTCTTGCTCTTCTCAGGGTGCCACAGGGTCACTTCATGGGGTCTGCTGTGGATTGGATGATCCAAAGGTCTCTGTGTTCAAGGCTCAGTTTCCAAGGGTGGTGGTATCAGGAAGTAATGTAACCTTGAGGAGGTGGACTTTCTGGGAGGCCTATAGGTCATTGGGAGCAAGCCCGGAAGGGACCCCAGTCTCTCAGTCTTGTTGCCTCCTGGCTTATAAAGGAAACATTTTTTTCTGTCTCCCACTCTGACCATGATTTGCTCCCCTTGTGGGGGCCCAAAACACCTTATCTTAGACTGAAATTTACTCACACCTTGAATCAAAATAAAGTTTTTTTGTTTTCTGATATTTTTGTTACTGTAATGCAAAGCTGACTTACACACCTCCCCTTTTTAAACAATCTCTTCATTTAAATCATCTGTCAATTCTCCTTTCTAATTCTGCTTTGACTACTGCAGTAGCTTTTTTCAAAATTGGGTTAATATCATATTAATCATTTAGAAAATATTGTAAGATAAAATATGTTTACAGATGTGGCATACTTCTAAGGGCAGACTCATTTAGGGTTTAAAATGCTGTTAGATTGCCAGATAAATGTTTTTAGTGTTCTCACTCTAATTTTTAGAATTGAGAATTGAAAGACTATAAATTCTGGCTTAGACTGGAGCACACATGATATATGACCAAAAGAGAAGATGAAATTGCAGATTGAAAGTGTTTAGGTGCAGGGTAAAACTACATTGAAATAAAATAAGCACAATCTCATGTATAGGGTTGTCTAAGTATATAAGAGAAAAAATTGCAGAAGATTGACATTTTGTTGTTTTATCCAGGGTCTAATTTAAAAATGACTTTCATTTTTTTATCTCAAGGCAATTAACCTGTCAATCAACTTTATGTGTTTATAAAATTTTTGCTATAATGAAAGAAGTGTGATTTACATAACTTGTACACAAGTAGTATATGAGCCCAATTAATAATTACAGAATGACTTGAGTTTTCTCATATTAGTAATACATTTGAATTCATTTTAATGAAGAAAAAGACTTTCAAGAACATTTTCTGAACTGTTTTTCCAAAGAGAAGACCAAAAAAAAAACACAGCTATTTTTTCTTTGAAATATTGGTTATAAAACCTTGTAGCACTTTTCTGAGTTCTCACAGTGTGGCGCTAGTTTCAGAGTTTGTCCATGGTCACCCTGTACTGAGAATTTGGGAAGCAGAGGAAGAGAAGTGCCTTCCTCTTGCTGGACGGTGACATAGCAGGGCACTCAGTACTAGGGGCACTGTGGGGGACCCCATTGCCGTACAGGAAGAGACTGGCGCAGTGGATGGAAACCCGGAGTGACATCTACAAGTTACATGTCTGGCAGGGCCAGATCCAGGGGCTGCACATTTTAGGGGACACATTATAATCAAGATGCATAATTTTTCTCCTACTGTACTAATGTATTCCATCTTTCAAAAAGAAAGACATGATTTTAATACTGTACTACTTAACAGTATGTTAAAAAAAAAAACACTCAGCTGGTTTCCATACAAATCTAGTCCTATGCTGTATTCCATCTTTTAAAAAGAAAGACATAATTTTAATACTTAAAGTATGTTAAAAAAGCACTCGACAGGCCTCGGTGCAAATCTAATCCTATGCTCTAAACAGACTTGATGTGAGTGCTGGGTGGTCATTAAGGTCGTCCTTCTGCAAGGGATCTTACACAGGTTGCCTGTGAGTCAGGGGTGAAACAGACAGTGTGCCGTGTACACCAAGAAACAGACCATGAAGAGAATGGGAGGGCAGGGGGTGGACAGAGCACTTTGGGGCTGAGCTGGGAGAGTGGGGTGGCTGCCACCTCCCGCGCGATCCTCTCCAGGGTCCCCGCTCAGTGGGGCAGCAAAGGTGGTTTTCTTCAGGTTGAAATTGGACGGGTTGATGGGTATTCTTGGCTGGGTTTATTCGTGGAGTCCAAGCAGAACGTTTTGAAATACACCACTTGCCTCTGTCTCGTCCATATCCAGGTCCACATCTTTAGACAGAAAGACAGCATGGCTCTGTGTCCTTGCCTCTGGCTGTTCCCGTTCTTGCCCCTAGGCTGTGGGGAGGCGGCCAGTATCAGCTGGTCACTCTACATGATTAAAATACAATGTTTTAATGCATTATTATAACATAAAATTTAATGTTTAAAACATCCACGAAGGAGGAAATACCAAAACACTGAATAAGTGCAGCGCGAGATCCTGTCCTTAAGCAAGCCAGCCTCACCGGAGTCAGAATTCCCAGCGCAGAGAAAGTGCGTCCGTCAGGTCTGCGCGGAGGAGTGAGTGTCTGCTCCATCTTTCTCTTTTGAACTGAAACAGCAAGACTTTTCCCCGCACTCTCCTATGTTAGGTGAACAGCTGGGTGCTCACGCCAGAATCGCAGCTGCAGCCGGAGAGTGACAATCCGAGATGCCCAGCTACCCTCTCCCATAGCCCCGCCGGGGAGCGGGCGTCAGGTGCGTCCTGAAGAGAGGGCAGAGGGGCGGGGCGCGGGTCTCTCCCGGACTCTCATCTGCCACCTGCCGCCGCCCTGGGCGTGTGCTGGAGAAGCTGCGAACCTGCTGCCTGGCAGAGCCAGAGACACTGGGGGATCGGAGGGCTCGGCAGGGTGTGTGCTGTAGGGGGAGCTTGGAGGGCCTGCGGGAGTGTGAGGGAGGGAAGGAGAGGAGGAGGAGGAGTCCCAGACAGCAGGCCCGGCGCCGGAGCAGCCCTGCCCCCGGACCCGGGTACCCAGCCCCGGGAGCATGGCCTCTGTTGCCTGCGCCTTCTTCTCTGTCCTCTCTGCGCTGCTGCTTCTGTCCTTACGGACCCAGAGCCCAGCGGTAGCAGGAAACCCACGTAAGTACAGCCAATGGTTTAAAACTTGCACTAAGTAAGCTGCCTGGAAACTTCGTGATTTTTTGTTTTTCTAGTCAGTGGTGATATTTGGACCTAGAATTGCAGACCGTGCTCCTGAAAATAGAATAATAAAATTAAATAATAAATTTAATAAATAACAAATTTAATAAAACTAAAGTCTGTTGACTTAGAGTTTGAAAAAATAGAATTTTGTTGACAGCAGATTTTCCTCTTGTAAGGGAGTCTAAAACATCTGATGTATATTTGACTTTTAATCTATGTGTTTGAAGAATTATCGAGAACGTGAACGTTTTCACAAGACCGAAAAAAAATGTCATAATAAGGGATTATCCTGCAGAAGGTGTCGTTATTTTTAAGGATTGTAGCACTTTTTAGAAATTAAATCTGACAGGAAAATAACTAGCAGACATTACATCATACTGTATTGATTTCTATGTTAGCAGCTTACAGTTTTGCCGATCTTGGCAGTTTCACAGTTAAGATGCCCATTAACTCTTGTGTGCTGCAGGGACGGAGCACCTGTAGGGGAACATAGATTTTACAACCCAAATTTCATAGCCTGGCCAAACTACTGAGGGAATTACACTACAACATTCCCTTGGCAATTCATTTGTAATGCTGGAAAGTTTTTGCTTAAAGACAAATGTAGCCAGACAGGTGATCTTGAAAACAATTCTTCTCTGGGTGCTGGTATTTCACATTTTAAAATTTATCATAGGATGCTTTGTTTTTGATTTGGTAAAAATTTAGAGACTTTAGTTTTAGAATGTATCATATTCTAATGATGATGCTCCAAATAGTTCAGGACAGTCCAATGCATTCACCTTTTCTCATACACAGAAATGTGTTAAAATTATTTTGCATGACTTAAGTCTCTGAGAAATGTCTTCTTTTCTTGACTAACTTAATCCAGGTATGGGACTAGAACTTCAAAATATATTCCTGTTTGTACTAAAATCAACTTATTTTTTCTTTCACTGGAATCTCCCCACACTCAACCTCAGCCCCTTCCTACCAAATCTGTTTTAAAATCAGCAGACAGAATCCTGGCCACATTCAGAAATTTGGATTGTTACAGGATAACCAGGAGCAGATTTCAGCAATTTACCTAAAACCGTCATTAGAAAGTTTGTCGTCACTCAGTCTTTTCTTTCTTGGAGCCTCAAGCTGGGGTCTTTTCCACATACTGACACATCAGTGTGTCTATCTTGCTCCACCATATCATTGAATACCTTGTATGTTTCTCCTGAAAGTGAGCTCCTGGCCCCCTTAGCCACACGACATACAGTGGATCAGATATAACTTTAATTTGGTTTCATCAGTAAGACATGGATATTTAGATCAAGTCAAATTCCTTGGATCCTGTAACAGAAAGTTCTGTTTTACCTAAATAAATACATAAAAGAGAAATAAACTACTTGTCAAAAGGCATAGTAATCAACTGGTAGACTACAACAATAAAATACGTCACTAGAGGTCACCCTTACTGTTTAACAACAGGGCTCCATAAAGATTTCCTTTGCAAAAGGCAAAGCAGTGAAGTCAGCTGAGACCCCAGCATCTGGATTTGGTTCCACGGCTGTGACTGTTTTGTGTGCACAGGGTTAGTTATATTAATAGTATTTTGTTTGAAATCCAATGGAGGATTAAGAAGCCAGCAGAAATTAAGCTATTGTCTTTTGAAGTGAGGGTTCTTACCAGAAGACCAGGGGCCTTTGAGATGAACTATGTAGGGATCAGACACAGGTTTAGATGGTCCACATGGGGTGACCACCAAACTTTGCTTGACTGGTCACTGGATCACACTTAAAACGTCAACACTAGTTTTATGGAGTTTTTCTCTTAACAGTGTTTTTGCTGTTGAGGAAGCAATATATCTCTATATTCTTTTAGTATCTCTATATTCTTTTAGTATCTCTATATTCAACCTATCTTTGTTAACTTTAAAATACCTTACAGATCAAATAATTCCTTCAGATAAAATTCTATAACTAACAAAAATGAAACAATCTTGAAAACCAGTAAGAAAGGAAGAAAGGACATTTAAAAGTATCCCCCTCACATGGACACCATGACATGTTCGCATTTTTTTACAGCTCATTTTCAGAAGCAAAGCGTCATCCACCAAGGTGGCCTGTGGCTGGTAGCACAAAGCAGCTCTTTACACAAAGTGGGGTTATAAGAAGAGCAAGCTCAAGCGTTGGGGATATAGCTCAGCAGCACAAGCACCTGCCCAGAAAGTGCAAGGTCCTGAGTTTGATCCCCGGTACCCTGCAAAAAGAGTGTCTGAGAAGGGCAAACTCGATATTTGACACTTTAGGCAGTCCATGCATTCTACTTGAATATTAGTTCAAGAAACAAATAAACAAGAAAAGGGGGTTTCTCTTCTTCATTGTTGATGGACCCGGCCTGCCCTTTTCTCCCCTCCCCTCTTCTCTTCGCTTGCTTCTCTTCTTTTCTGTGTGTGTTTTGAATTATCCTGGTGCACTCTTCATCTTCCTAAAGGTGATATATCTATAATGTACTGCATCTTTTGCATTTATGGATAATTTCTGATCATTAAAAGCAGTGAACATTTCCTGTTTTTCTTCTGAGCTCATAAACGGAAGTGGGTATAAAGTTTTGATGGCAGACTTGCAGTTGGTTTTGTGTTTATGATTGATCTGTTGTTATCAGTCCTTTCACTTGTTAGGAAAGGACATGAGTAAAACCTTGCACACACCTCACCATATTACAACTATTCTTGTGCTGCTCTTGTTTGATTTGAGCAGCAGGACAGGCAGTGCAGGAGGACTTGACTTCCAGTGTACTGTAGGTGAATCAACATTGGTTCCTAATAACGGGAGCCTTATTGCTCTCATAATTTATCTCTGAGTTCTTTTCCTGTCTCTTCACTTTGTCATCTGCCTAGGGATGAACGAACAGTCATCTGCTGCTCTCATACAGCACCTGAAGACAATCACAGGAATAAAGAGAGCTATTGTGTTCAGTTCTGGGCTCTAACCCCAGGGATACATAATTGAGTAGTAGGGTAGATTTTATGGAAATACCCATAATTGGTAAAATGCTGAGCAGCATTTTACTTTTACGTAAATTTTCATTGAATAAATTTACTCATTGCTTAGGTGAAGACACTTTTAATTACTTTTATTTTCTTTGCTAAATAGTCATGTTTTCGAGTTCAGCCAAGCTAAGAAAAGAAGGGCCAACCTGCCATACAGCATGTGGTTTAGCAGGGAAATTCACTTGTGCTGTGATATGGTGATACATGTCAGGAAAACTGTCTTATACAATATAGGAATAATTACTTCAGCAGATGTTTTACTTGGGATCTTCTAATAATTCCATTGTTGAAAAGTATCTGGAGATGAGTAACAGACTGTTAATTTAGTATTAAATGACACTCTATAAAAATTTGGGTCCAGATTACTTTTACTCATTTTTTTCTAAACTCTAAATAGATAAACTTTGCAGAGGATAAGTAGACCAGATAAATCATAATCAGCCCTCCAAAATTAATCAGATCATAGAAAAAAATCAGATTACTTGCTTTTCCATTTCCTCCCTGTTTCTTTTCCTAATGAACATAAAGCCGTCCAATAGGGCTGGACATGTGGGCAGCCATATGGGTAGGGGGTGGCTCATCAGCATGTTGCAGGGTTCAGAGACATGGCATGGTGAAGAAGGCATCCAAAGGGTGGCAAAGGTTGGATACATGGGAGGTGGCGCTGGTAGTGACCTAAAGCAGATTGTCAGAGGTTGAATGGGGTAAGGAGGGAGGCAATCCACATTGAAAGAGACTAAGAAAGCATAGCTACTAAATGCTATGCATGACCCAGGCTGAATGCTTACTGTCTAAAGGTTACAAGCAACTGGTGAAACTTGAACATGATCTGAGGATTAAGAGGGGAAATGTACCCATGATTATAGTGTTGAATGTATTAGAGTTATGTGGGAAAATATCTTTGTTGTAGGAAAAGCACATTAAAATCTTCAGGGGTGATGATGTATAGGAACATAGTTCTTCAACCTTTGTAAACTTGAGATTGTTTCTAAATTAAATGGTTATTTTTAAAAATCAATAAACTTACATTAAAAGAAGCATGGACAAATAGATTACCATAAATAAGTCAATAAATTTAAATTGATGCTTTAAACCAGCCTGTCCAATATGACTTGACTTTCAAGATGCCAGATGGGTGTCACATGTCCAGCTTGGACGCAGGTGTTAGAGTGAACCGCCCTGCTCACACACCAGGGTTGGTAAGGTGAGGGGAGGGAACCTAACGAGCATCAGAGTATCATAGAAATGGCCTCCTATTACAGAATTTAACAAGTGCTGACATTGCTATTAACAAACAGATGTATGGAAAATATCTTCATCCTGGAAAAATTAATTCATGTCCTGAAACATTAATTGTTGGAGACTATATAAATTATGTAAAAATTGCTAGCTCCATGTCAGGGCTTCTTTTTAATTTGGAGCTAGTCCATATGGAGGACAGCCATGAACACACTGAATAATAAAGAGGAATGGTGAGCCATGCCTTCTTCAGACTTGTCCATACGTTCTTCTGTGTACAGTGCTATTTCTTTCTTTCCATGTGTCACTTGCCTTTTAAATTCTTAAAAAAGCTTAGCATTATTTTAATGAGAGTTTAAATAAAAACTTTTATGTAGAAGGTACTAAAAGTTCTTGTTACAAATCTGAATTGATCTACGCATTGCTATCTAAAGGGAATTCTTTAGGAAAAGTACACATTATTCACAGTGAGCAGAAGCAATAATGATAAATTTAGAATCTATTTTTTCTTGTGAAAATATCTGTTTCAAGTGGTTTTGAGTTGCCGTCCAGTCACCTTCAGTCACTTTAAGAAAGTCTAACTTTTTAAAAATAGGTATAAAATAATCCTGAAGAAAACATTTTGTGTCATTTTCAGTTGTGATCTTCTAGCTGAACAATATAGGGTCATGTGCATGGAAATACAGTGAGTCTTCACCAGACTTCCAAACAAGCTGGGAGAGGTTTGGGTTGCATAACACCTGAAGCTTCTGATCATGTGTTTCATTCAGAATCTCAGAGGATACTGCTTGCAGAATTGGAAACGACAGGGAAAGAAAAGTAAGGAAATTTAGGTACCAGGCACGCTCTTTTCTTTTGTAAAATGTATCACCTTTTAAAAAGGCATACTTCTTTAAGTTGGTCCCTAGATATTTTCTTTGTTACAAAGTGAATCCTTGGCATATATACTATTGACTCTTGAATTTTGCACAGAAGAAGTTGGAAATTTCAATAATTCTGTTGCCAGCTATCTTTATAGATTTATTCTTAAACTTAATGTCGAGAATTGTCTGAGACCAGCAAAACATATAGTTAAGAAGTTAATTAAGGACAAACCAAGGGAAACAGTAACAGTGGCTTTATCTGTTATACCTTTGCACAGTTTCTCTTGAAATCACATTAGAGGGATGAATCTGTGATATTTCTATGATTCTTATCTTACTGATTATGATACTTATCTTTTTTTACTTCTCCTTCCAACTACTTCAATAGAAGTTTATCTAGCATGTGCTTTCAGACTCTGTGCTGGGCAGGTAAAGCACACAATTGGGCGAGACTTCTCTTGTAGCTTCAAAGTGCTCACAGGTGATTAACAGGAAAAGCTACACATGTCAGCCATGGAGCTCCAAAACATATGCAAAGCCTAATGCTATTGTACAGAAAGGCACTGTGGTACAAAAGCATCTTGGGTATAACTAGCATATTTTTTATGACATAAGAATAATTTCTATCAAATATTTATGAACGTTACTTCAGAAATTTTTTTGGATTTTTTTTTCTGAAGTATAATGAAGGAACACATTAGCAAATAGACTTTGGAGGCAGTTTTCCCTAAATGATACGCTTTCTTCTTGAATTCTGCAGTGAGTACATGAGATGGTATGGGACCTGTCATGCAGAATGCAGCACAGGCTTCGTTACCTTCCAGGCTCTCTGCACATCTTCACAGTTTTCAAATGCTTTTCTGGGAAACGTAGGTTAAAATTTTTTGGAAAATTACATCAGTATATATTTCTCTATTTTTCTCAGTTCCCAATGTAGCATATTTGCTGAATTCTGAAAATTATTCCTGCTTTTGCTATCCGGAGTCCAGTGTACTGGTGAAATCCAGCAAGGCTCTGCTGTGGTGCTGGAGCATTTAAAGTTATAGAGATAGTAGATTAGCAGCACTCCAGGATTCCATGGGTGTTTGGGCATTTAGAAAATATTGGGTGCTCCTTATGTCAAGTGTGTTAAATGTAGTTACTGAGATTACACTGATCTTTATTTGTAAAACTCACAAGTCCTAATGTCTGATTCACCTATATAATGTTGTCACTGCTAGAAAAGTGTGCGGAAATATTTTTGTATCAGATATTTTGTGGTCTTACTAAGCATAAAATACTGTTCTTCCTGCTTGAGAGAAACTTCAACATGAGTTTTATTTTTCTGTTGTGTCTTACATTATGTAACTATCTTAATGGTGTTCAAAGAATAACTTTAGACAAATTGAAGTAAGCAGAATTTATTTGAGCAAAGAAATGTTTCATGAATCAAGAGGCAGAGGGAACACTGTTCAGAACGCTCTACCTCACCACAGATATAGCTACATTTATTTCCAGGGAACAAGAAGTGACTGACAGAAATGGCCTGATTGGTTGCCAGTCACATTTGCCTTAAATGATCGTATTTTGGCAGATTTGACCCTCTGGTTGGCTGGAGGTCCAGCTGCTGTGGATGGCTGATTGTTAAAAGAGTATACTTTCAGTGTGGGTAATAACATATGAGGTTACAGTTCACCGTGTATGGAGAAACCTTTAGACCAAATTTAAAATGTGTGTAGAGACAGCCTTAGGCAAAACTTAATTCATTTTGACAATGACAACTTATGCTTTTAGAAAATCTACTGTAATTCCAATATTCTTTATGAAGTGATATTCACTCAGGCAAATTCTATGCACTGGGTTTTATTTCTGTTGTTCCCTAGGCTATGTGTGCAATCTAACAAATCACCAGGAGAGACTCTAGACTACTTTTGCATCTATCTCATTGAATACAGTTGATATTTTCCCACATTGTAGCAATACAATTAATTCTATATGCTTTCTTTTCTTCATGGAACTTAACCAATTGTTCACAAAGAAACAAGTACATACAAAATATGCAGTTCAAAATCTTCTGATATACATTCAAGGTATACATAGTTATTAGCCCAAATATCTCAGTGCATATGTTGGAAATTAGTAGCTCAATAATCATGCTAGAAAACAAGAGGCGGCCTTTTAATGAGAAAATATATGGAATGCCTGAAAGTGCAATGACTACAATATTGGGATGAAGGGCAGAGGAGTAACCCAAAACACACATGAGAAAGGAAATGATTCCAGGGCTTCCTAAAGTTTGGACACCAGAAGCAGGTAGTCCTCATAGATAACAGTTAAACTACTGGATCAAAGTCCCCACAACCCCCTGCAGTTTTTATACACCAGGACACAAACCGTGGAGGATTGCTTCCAGGTGGGAGTGACCTGCATGGTTCTAAGGATTAAAGGTTGGGGCCATTTCCTGCAATGTTAAAGGCCTGAGGCAAAGAGGAGGAGTTTCCGTGCCATATAACAAAGTATTCCCCAGTCATTTGCCTGCAGAGGTCTCTACAATGGAATTTTTCCAATTTACTGCTGCAGATACTGCTTTTTATGGGTCCTGTCTTCCTATAGGTCACTCTCTTCTGATTACCTGGCTCCGACTGCAGCTGCCTTAGCCCCCATGCGTACTGTGCAATGGCACTGTGAGAATTTTAACCACATCAAGGTTTAGGCACAAAATTCATACCACCCCTATGTGCAGGTGGAACCCAACCATCAAATTTAGGTTAAAGCAGTCCTGGGGTAGTGATGTACTCATACACCTGGAAAAAACAGAAAATGTGGGACACTGGGGATGTTTGAGGGCTATAACACCTGTGTTCTTTCTTCTTTAGGGTGCAGGTTACATGACTGTGGGCATAGGTCAAAACTGACAGGACTATTCACCTTTAAAATAATTTAAATTCACAGGACTTTTACTCTGTAAATTACACTACAATACAAATATTAGACGTTTAAAAAATTAAGGTAGATGATTTCCTTGTGTCCTCATTTATCTTTTTGAGCTATTGTTTCCCCAAAGCTGCAGCCTGTGTGCTAACGTTTGCTGGCATTTTCCTTACAGACAGTTGTGATGTTCCCCTGGCCTCCGCCTTGCCCCTGTCCTCCTTCAGCAGTTCCTCAGAGCTGTCCAGCAGCCATGGCCCTGGATTTGCAAGGCTTAATAGAAGAGATGGTGAGTCTGCTTTCAGCTTCTTATTGACCTTTGTCAAATCTTGATTTTCCTTTAATGAAATTATTATAATTTATTGCTATTTTAGAGAAGAAAATACAGTTCTAAATAAGCATATGTATTCCCATTTGAAACCCTTGAGGACGTGTTTGGTATCAATAAATTGGTCACTTTTGCTCCATGGACTGGCTGAACTTCTCTTGGTGCAGTCTTTATAGGCTTTGGAACAAGTCACATGTGACTTTGACAGTGTTTGGGCTTTCTATAAAATCAATTCAACATTGAAGTATTTACGGAAGGCTTTGAAATCTGCCCAAGGTTGTGTAACCTCTAACCTAAAGAAAATATAAAGCAGGTCCTATAGCCATTTTTATTTGTTTTCCTACTACAAGTATAAATTTCTTGTGTATATTGCTCCAGATTATTTAATTTGCCCTATTTGGATAATAAAATTGGCAGAATAAATAAGCAATTGGAAACTATTTTTACTGTGTCTTAACTACAACTTCTAATTTATTTTTCAATTGATTCTCTTACTTGATTCTCTCTCTGCCACCCACTGAGGAGGAAAAAGTGTATAACTGTTTATTCGTGCTCCACCATGAATATTCCATTTATATTTGTAAACTTATCTTAAGAGGAGTATGTTTTCTTGTACATATGTTTAAAGAGAAGTGTAGAAAATTTAATGTTAACTTTTTGTGTGTGGTGGTTTAGAAAAGTTTTCCCTAAAGGTCCAGGGTTTGAAGGCTTGGTCATCAGTCCATAGTTCTGCTGGGAAGTGATAGAAACTTCAAGAGGTGGGATGGAGTGGAAAGTTATGTTACTGGAGATGTGACCTTCAAGTGGATAACTGGACCCCAACACTTTCCTGCTTCTCTTTCCTTTGTGGATGCTATAAAGTGAGAGCTTTCTTCACCATGCATTCCCTCTTGGTTTACTGCTGTGCCACAGTCCAAAGGCAATGAAGCCAAGCCACCATGGATCCAAAACCTCTGAAACCATGAGCCAAAATAAACTTTTCCTCTTTTTTAATGTGATTATCTCAGGAATTTTGTTACAGTAATGGAAAGCTGATTAACACACTACATAAAATGTAGGGAACTTTAAACACAATTGTCTTGGTTACTTTTCTCTCGTTGCTGAGACAAAATACCCAACGCCCAAAATGAAGGAAGGAAAGGTTTATTTAGCTTACAGTTTGTGGAGTTTTCAGTCCATACTTGGCTGGCTCCGAGGCAGAAGATAACAAAGCAACAAAAGCAAGGGGGAAACGGCAGCTGAACGGCAAAGCAGCCAGAGCAAAAACCGGAGGAATGGCAGCAAGCAGCTTTTTTCTTGCCTTACATGGTAAACAGGCTACCCCCACCTAAGGAGTGTGTAGCTCTCACATAATCTCCATGCCCTCCACTTCCACAGGCTCAGGATGTATACAAAGTAAGTATCCTGGCTTCCTGCTGAGTCATTTAGCCAAACCTCTAGCTCCCCAAGTTGACACAATGTATCAACCATAACAACAATATACAGTGTGACAAGGCATCATCCTGCATTTTTTTCAAATAAAACCTAAAGTAAAATTCTTTGACTAAGTCCTCAGGAAACTGAATTTACACAATTAACCAAAAACCATTTTAGGCCTATATGAAAAAGACATAGGAAGCATATACTATAAAACTAGGCTTCACTATATCTGTGATACCTTCTTTCTTATTATTTGTGCCCTTTTCCTCTTTGCTCTCTACTACTGTCTTTTGCTTATTCACTATTTGAGCACATTTAGCTCATTGCACATTGGATTGAATTAATATATCCTGGCCTTTGCTATAGGCAGGGTGGTTATCAAAAATGAACAGCTTAACTTTTCATTTTGCTTAAATACATTTACATTAATAATTTGCAAGTATACAAATAATATATAAATTTGCAAATGTCACATAAGCAAGTACATTTGCTAAAATACCTTTAAGTCTGTTATTTCATTCATCACTAAGATTTCCCTGTGCATGATTTTCCTGCAAGTCTAAATGATTGTTTTCATTATCACTGAAGCAGTAATTGGCATGGGACACAGAAATAAAGGAGAATTAAGGGTCATCTCAAGCCATAGCTCTTCTTAATGTCAAATCATATTTTATATTAAACTATGTGACTGTGAGGATTATCCATCATAGGGGTCATTTTTATTCTTGGTTCATGTTCCCACAACTCATATTATTCAAAGCCTTGATAACAGTCTTTATTAAATTTATTTTCATGTGGATAAAAGAAAAACAGGCCTATTTTATTACTTTAATTAGCTGTCAACTGAGTTGATTACAAATTCATTGTTGTAGTTATTGTCCATGGGTTTGATATTTTTTCTCCCTTATCATAACCTGCAATATTCAATGAAAGAATTTGAAATTGGAAGTGATTTATTGAAGGCTGCAGATTATCTCTAGTGTTTTAATATTTTTTATTAGATTTAGAATGTTTTGTAGATGGTTGAATAAACAAGTGTTCTGACCATAAATAATTAAACCAACAAATGGATGACCCCATGTCACAGACATGAAAGCCTTTCTCTAGGGGAGTGTAAAGACCTGAAAGATACATTTCACAGGCAGAAAACTAATAATCACCTAGCTATATAGCCTGGTACTTTGTACCCATGTGATAAGAAAATTCCATGAAAAGAGTTGTGATCATTACTAAAGCTCTGGCATGAGGGATGAGAGAACTACGAAAGCTGCATAGTAAATTAGTTTTATCTGACCCATTTGAAGGCAGCAAAATGAACATTTTAGGGATGTCATCATTCAGGCCTCTTAGATATTAATAAACTAATTCTTCCAGTTTACTAAATAAAGAATAAAGTGTATTAACACAAGTTAATAAACTTATAACACCAAGTTATTCTCTTTTTATGGCAAAGATTCAATTTTCCCATTTTATAAGCTAGAAGCATAGTACAAAATTACTTTCCACTTATAAAAATATAGTAGTATGAGTACTGGGCATATTAGAATATAATTAATTCAATATGTTTTTTGTTTTCCACATTTTCATAGTTGATGTTTTAGTATAACTTGAATTTTAACATGTCGGTAAAATCCACATTGTTTTTAAAATTGACACATAGGGACTGTACATATTAGGGTATACAATGTGATAATGTCATTTAGGTATACAAAGTATGGCAGTTAAATCTGGGTAGTTAGTATTTCTATCTCCTTAAACTAGTAGCATTTCTTTGTTTTGGGAAAGTTCAAAAACCTCTTTTGTAATTCTTTATAAAGTCTATGATAAATTGTTGTAACTACAGTCACCCTATTGAAAATGCATGTTTTACACCAAAATCAGTGCTATTATTTTAGCAAGATCCATAGTAGCATTTACAAGGAAGGGGGTGTGGCTGAGGGTGAGAAGTAATGGTCACACATGCCTGCAGCTGACAGACCCTTGAAGTGATTGCACAATGTGCTGTAATGAAATGCTTTTCCTATGCAGTAGGGAAACCTCAAAGTCTGTTTTTGCAACCTAAAGTTGCGCATTTGAACCGAGGATAATTTAAAGCAATAGAATACAATAACCTTCTATCCTTGCTCCCAGAGGCAACAAAATGCTTTCTTTTTTTTAGACCTCTTCCATCTGGTTAGTATTGTCAAAAGGTTTCAGGGCTGGGGATCTAGCTCAGCGGCAAAGCACCTGACTGGCAAGCGCAAGGTTGGGAGTTCGGTTCCCGGTACCGGAGAAAAACAAACAAACAAAAAAACATTTCGTATATAGCTAAACACTCTGTAATTATGATTTCCTACATACACGTCTTGTTTTTTGTTTACCACTATTGAGACTTTGTATGGTCCAGAACCTCTTCTAATGTTCAGAAAGCATTCTGGTGCAGCAAAGTGACGAGTGGAAAAATGATGTTAGATACCTCATTAACAAAGCTGACTCCAGAGCTGGGGAGCAGCTGTGTGGAACTGCAATTGCCTAACATACAAAAGGCCCTGGGTTTGACCTGCAGCACTGCAAAGAGGGAAAAAAAGACATCTGTTGTTCGGTACACCTTAATAGAGACTGATTTTAAAAGCTGGTGAAGGTTTTATTGTTCCCAAGTAGTGTTCTCCTTCTCTATGGTCTCAGTGTGTCACAAGCATTTCCAGCGTGCACTGGTCATGGGCTGCATCCCAGAAGAATACCTGTGGACTTTGCTTGTTGGGCCTTTTCCTGCTACTTAAAAGTATTCAAAATTTGCTTGTTAGATATTTAGCTAACTAATAGTTTTCTGTTACTAGAGAGTACTTTTGAATATTTAGGAAAACAGTCCTAAGGGTAAAAGTTAGTTGACATTAACTAATTACCAGAAAAATGTTCACATGGATTCCTTATACTTCATGGGACATTCCACATCTGGTGCTGAAACCTTTCCTGCACTTTCCTGAAATCTTATGAGCAATTGGAGGAGCCCAGAGGTGAGCTGGCAGGTGAAGCCCTGGGTGTTATGGTTTGTGCCTAGATGTTTCCCCAAAGCTTCATGCACTTTTAGGTGGCAGCTGAATCTAGAGGTTGTGATTGATTAGTAGTACAATGCTTGGATTAAGAGTTCTTGGATTAAGGGTGAGTGATTGCTGGATCAGTCCACTGACCGGATTGGCACCATTCTCATCCCAGTAGTTTGGGTAAGACAAAAGGCGCAGAAAGAGGTTGTAGTGGACTGACAACTGGTGGTCAACTTATAACCCCCAGCTGAACTGAATAAGCGTGGTGGTGAGTGTGGGAGGCCCACCTGGGGATTGTGGCCAGCAGCATAAGAGACAGAACTGGAGAAGGAAAAGTTAGGCTGTTGGGAGCTGAAAGGCTGTTGGAGCTTGTAGAAGCTGTAAAGAGCTGTTAGTTCTGTTGGAGGAGCTCATCATGCTGTCTTTTCTGATGAATTTGGCTGTTTTCATCCTCCAAGGAGCTCGGGACCTTGTTGGCACTGAGAATAGCTTCGGCTCACTTTAGGGGAGCTCTGATCCTCA